GAGAGGGGGGTGGGGAGGAGGGGATGGAGAAAAATGCTAGAAGGGAAGAAGAGGCAGCTGGGCATTGAACTTGCTCCACTGCGCATGACGAAGCAGAAGGCGCCGTAGAACAGAGTTTAAATAGGAGGTGATGGTCTGATTGGGAAGGGAGGAGGGGAAGAGAAAAGTGGGGAGAAGGAGAGGAGGGAGGAAAGGGAGGAGAGGGAAAAAACCGGAGAAGAGGGAAATGGTAAGTACACAAGGAGGATACCGGCAAGACGATCTGGCAAGGCTAAACGGAGCCTTCCTTTTGACCTCTCCCCATCCTTTTGATAGTGCATCTCCTCCATCATCCCCATCTCCTCCATCATCTCCATCCCCTGCTCTCACCTCCATACAATCTGAAATAGTTTTCAATCCTCCCCACGTTCAGCCCTCCCCACGTTCAGCCCTCCTCACGTTAAGCCCTCCCCACGTTCAGCCCTTCCCACGTTCAGTCCTCCTCACGTTCAGCCCTCCCCACGTTCAGCCCTCCCCACGTTCATCCCTCCCCACGTTCAGCCCTCACCACGTTCAGCCCTCCCCACGTTCAGCCCTCCCCACGTTCAGCCCTCCCCACGTTCAGCCCTCCCCACGTTCAGCCCTCCCCACGTTCAGCCCTCCCCACGTTCAGCCCTCCCCACGTTCAGCCCTCCCCACGTTCAGCCCTCCCCACGTTCAGCCCTCCCCACGTTCAGCCCTCCCCACGTTCAGCCCTCCCCACGTTCAGCCGTCCCCACGTTCAGCCCTCCCCACGTTCAGCCCTCCCCACGTTCAGCCCTCCTCACGTTCAGCCCTCCCGACCCTTCAACTCTCCCCGTGCTCAACCCTCCTCTCAACGCATACTCCCCCCTCCCCTGCGCTCACCTCTGTGTTCTCCGGCGATTTCCCCCGCCACCCCCCCAGGTACGCGCAAATCGCGCCCTTCGCCACGTCAGCCTCGCGCCCAGCGCGTCGCGCAGGCGGCTGATGAGCGCCGTCACGCTCCGCACGTATGCCTTCGGAAGCTGCCGCCCACTCGCCGTGACCTGAGATGCACTGAGATGAATGGTTCCATGCACTGAGATGAATGGTTCCACGCACTGAGATGCATGGTTCCATGTTCTGAGATGCATGGTTCCATGCACTGAGATGCATGGTTCCATGGACTGAGATGCATGGTTCCATGCACTGAGATGCATGGTTCCATGCACTGAGATGCATGGTTCCTTGCACTGAGATGCATGGTTCCATGCACTGAGATGCATGGTTCCATGCACTGAGATGCATGGTTCCATGCCCTGAGATGCATGGTTCCATGCACGGAGATGCATGGTTCCATGCACTGAGATGCATGGTTCCATGCACTGAGATGCATGGTTCCATGAACTGAGATGCATGGTTCCATGCACTGAGATAAATGGTTCCATGCACTAAAATGCATGGTTCCATGCACTGAGATGAATGGTTCCATGCACTGAGATGAATGGTTCCATGCACTGAAACGCATGGTTCTATGCACTGAGATGCATGGTTCCATGCACTGAGATGCATGGTTCCTTGCACTGAGATGAATGGTTCCATGCACTGAGATGCATGGTATGTACTGAGATGAATCGTTCCATGTACTAAGATGCATGGTTCAATGCACTGAGATGCATGGTTCCAGGCACTGAGATGCATGGTTCCATGCACTGAGACGCATGGTTCCATGCACTGAGATGCATGGTTCCATTCACTAAAATGCATGGTTCCATGAGATGAATGGTTCCATGCACTGAGATGAATGGTTCCATGCAATGAAAAGCATGGTTCCATGCACTGAGATGAATGGTTCCATGCACTGAGATGCATGGTTCCATGCACTGAGATGAATGGTTCCATGCACTGAGATGCATGGTTCAATGTACTGAGATGCATGGTTTCATGCACTGAGATGCATGGTTCCATGCACTGAAATGCATGGTTCCATGAGATGAATGGTTCTATGCACTGAGATGAATGGTTCCATGCAATGAAAAGCATGGTTCCATGCACTGAGATGAATGGTTCCATGCACTGAGATGCATGGTTCAATGCACTGAGATGCATGGTTCCATGCACTGAGATGAATGGTTCCATGCACTAAATTGCATGGTTCCATGCACTGAGATGAATGGTTCCATGCACTGGGATGCATGGCATGCACTGAGATGAATGGTTCCATGCACGGAGATGCATGGTTCCATGCACTGAGATAAATAGTTCCATGCACTGAGATGAATGGTTCCATGCACAAAGATGCATGGTTCCATGCACTAAGATAAATGGTTTCATGCACAGAGATGCATGGTTCCATGCACTGAGATGAATGGTTCCATGCACTGAGATGAATCGTTCCATGCACTAAATTGAATGGTTCCATGCACTGAGATGCATGGTTCCATGCACTAAGATGCATGGTTCAATGCACTGAGATGCATGGTTCCATGCACTGAGATGGAAGGGTCCATGCACTGAGATGCATGGCATGCACTAAGATAAATGGTTCCATGCACGGAGATATAGGTTCCATGCACTGAGATGCATGGTTCCATGCACTGAGATAAATGGTTCCATGCACGGAGATACATGGTTCCATGCACGGAGATGCATGGTTCCATGCACTGAGATGCATGGTTCTATGCACTGAGATGCATGGTTCCTTGCACTGAGATGCATGGTTCCAGACACTGAGATGCATGGTTCCATGCACCGAGATAAATGGTTCCATGCACGGGCAGCGGTGTCTCTCATATTTTGAGATGCCCTGCTGCAACTTGTGAGAGCTCAACCATTGAAACAGGATTCATACACACACATGCAATACTAACCTATCATATACACAGGAAGACATGGTTCTAGGCACAGGCATGCAGGAGTATTCCGCACTAGCTAATCGTTCCCATGTATAGAGGATACTTCAAGCTTGGTCAGAGATAAAGCAGGTAGGGAGGGATCATATGCACAAGGGGGGGCGGGACCTAAGCACAGCCAGGCAGTGGTTTCCCGCACAAGATGTCGTTCCCTGGTCTGTTTGAACGAGTCTCTCTTCAGCTTGGTCAGAGCAGCCGGGATGGCTCTATTCACAAGCAGGTAGCGGGGTCCCACACAAATTGTCGTTTCCTGGTTTGAACGACCCTTGCTTCAGCTTGCTCAGAGCAGCCGGAACAGCCCCTGACAGCCGATTCCCCGCCAGCAGCACTTGCCGTATACCTGCTGGCCAAACCGCAGGAAGGGAACCTGTCAGGTTGTTGTATGCCTGTCAGATCTCATTTGAGGTCGGAGACAAAGTTTTGCTGAGCACGAAGAACATTCGTCTCAAAATCCCTGGAGCATGATAGCTGTTCCCTCGATGGATTGGGCCTTTCGAGGTGATCAAGCGTGTTGGTGTGGTAGCTTACAAGCTTAAGCTGCCTGATACATTGCAGATTCACAACGTCTTCCATGTGTCTCTGTTGAACAAATACGTTGCAGAGGGCAAGTACTTATCGACACCAACGATCTTCCTAGGGGAGGAACTGTTTTATGAAGTCGAACGAGTGCTGATGCATCGTGATCGACAACGCGGCCGCAACACAGTACGAGAGTTCCTCATCAAGTGGAAAGGCTATGGGCCTGAACACAACTCATGGGAGCCAGAAGAGCATTTGACTGAAACTGCAGTTCAGTCATACATGACAGACCTGGCTCGACGAGCTGCCGCACAACCAGTGGAGGGTGTTGACCCTGGTCGTAATGTGACACGGCGTGCTCGAAGCGCTCGTCCTCAGAAGCACCCTAAGGCAACGGGGACGTTGCCACCTAGGGGGGGGGAGTGTAACGCATGACCTACTCTGCCTAATATACCGCTAGCTTCCTAAGTCAACATCGAGAGAGTTCCTCGATGAGAAATGACTCGATGGGAATCGGGAAGGTTGAGTTGGAGGGGAAGGTTGGTTGGGTTGTTCCAAACCTCAACCTTGAGGCTTGGAAACTTCCAACCCATCAAAGTGAAGATTGGGAAGGTTGGATTTCCAACCAATCAAATTGTGCCAGTTGTTGTTACAATCCAACCAAACAACAAAACAATCATACAACACAATTGAGTTGGGTTTTCCCAACCAAACAAAGATGCCACCTAGGCTCCAAGCCTATTAGCTCCCCAACCATAGAAGCCATGGTTGGGAAGAGCCCCAAGGGGTATTGTGGAAGGGGTTGAAGCTTTCAAGCTCATTCCTACTTCCCAACTCCAACAATCTGACTTGAAAATGGGATTTTCATTCTAAGTCTTTTGGTTCTCCTAACAAGTTCTCCTACACAACTAGACTTGTGATTCTTCAAGGATAAGCTCTACAAGAAGCTACCTACCTACCTATCTACTAAAGCTTCATCAACTCTTCAAGTCCTTGTTCTCCTGTCAAGCTTCAAGAGCACTATCAAGGCTAGAATATCCCTTGGTGGGATTAGTTTAATCCTGGAAGCCTTGTATCTTGATTTTATATAAATTGTCAAGGAGGATTTATATTTAACACACGGCCGTGGTTGTTACATTGGTATCTAGAGCTAGGGTTATCCTAAGCCTAGTGGGGATTTTTCCCCTAGAGATTTTTATTTATAAATCTTGGAGTTGTGGTTTCTCTTTAAGAGAACACTCAAGATCTGGAAGCTTGAAGAGTTCAAGATCTACATGATCTACAACTGCAACTTCAAGCTAAGAAGAGAGATTTATCTCTCTTGCCCACCTTTTGGTAGAAGTAGTGGAGTATAAACTTGGATATGGAGGATTTGTTGAGGGTTATACAAGTTCTATTTATTGAGATTTGGATAGACCCTGCCCTTTCACTTAGGTGATTGGGAGTGTTTGACAACAAATCTGTTACCTTTGGTAACCTTGGATTATTCTGTAGAAGAAATTTGTTTACAAGAATTTCTTGCTTCACCATTGAGGTGGTAAAAAGACTTAAACAGAAACAACCCAGATCTTACAAGCTCCCTTAAACCTTATGGCATCTGGCCAAGAGAAGGATATGGCAAGGGAGGAAGGGCCCACTGCACCTAATGAGGTGGTGAACAATGCTGCTGAGATTGACCTCAATCAAGATGAGGCAATGGTTGACCTTGAGTTGGATAATATTGAGGACCTGGACCTGGACTTTGGAGATGAGCATAACCATGGTGAAGCTGAGAACCATGATGAAGCTGAGAACCATGATGAAGCTGATAATCATGGTGAAGCTGACAACCATGGGGAAGAGGATAACACCGGTGAAAAGGAGAACACTGGTGATGAAAATGACTTCACTGAGGGTGAAGGCATGAGTTCTCCTATCTCCGAGGAGAGTGTCCAACTCCATGCTAAAGTGGCAACTCAGAATATCACCATCCTGCAGCAGCAGGCGTCCATTGATGGACTCAAGAAGCATACTCAGAACCTTGAGGCTGATCTGCGCATTGCCACGAAGGAGGTTACTGACTTCCGTCGGAGCTTGGGCACTAAAAAGCGCCAGATTGAGTGGCTTCAGAAGACTTGCACTAATCTGCAAGCATCATTCAACAAGCTCCATGACCAGTTCAAAGAGCTTAGGAGGGAGGGCATTTTCCAGCCTCCTCCTGGGCGTAGGCCCGCTCCTACTGCTCAGCCGGCATCCGCTCCGCCCGCACATACGCCGGTAGGCGCTGCGACGGCTATGCACCAGCCACCTCCAACCGAGACCTCGCCCTTTGGGTCTCTCTCGACGCCTCTGCCTGAGTTTAACCATAGCAAGACGGAGGTGCAGCCTTGGCTTGACCTGGTGAATGACACCATGATCCTTGCGATTGTGCGTCCTGAGGCTCGCGTCACTGCAGCTACTCGTGCATTGGACGAGGTGGCCCGCAGGGCAGTGTATGGCGCTAAGAAGCAGGCGCAGGGACCGTTTGAATGGCCAGATTTCTGCACCGCGCTGAAAAAGGCATTCATGGTCAAGAAGTCCGGCCTGGAACTGTGCAGACGCCTTGAGAGTATCTAGCGTCGTGACCGTTCGGTGCAGGAATATGCGGTCGAGTTTGAGGCCGCAGCACGCTTGCTCCATAAGCCTTTGTCTGAGGAGGAGATGATGCACGTCTTTATGAAAGGCCTCTCTGTCAAGCTGCAGCAGGCACACATGACCGGTGGCATGACCAATTGGACGACCTACAAGGAGATGAAGGAGCAGGTGGTCCTGCAAAGCCAGACCAGCAGCCCCGTGCTGAGAGCTCTGGTGGTCGTGGAAACCGACCCCAGAATGCCAACGGCGGAGGCGGTTGGAACAAGCGACCCTTCCATCAGCGTGATCACCAGCCTGGACCACAGGCCAAGAGGGCTAACGGGGGGGAAGGTCATGGCCCTAACAAGCCCGACTTCTCCAAGATGAGGTGTAACGGCTGTGGAAGGATTGGACACATCCAAAAGCACTGCCGTGACAAGAACGCTATCAAGTATTCTGGGAAGCCTAAGCTAGGCGGCGCTGGACCTTCTGAAAAGAAGGATTTTCAGGAGCCCAACTAGGGTGTGGGTACCTAGTTGGAGGAGTAGATCGAGTGGATGAGGCATATGTGCTATGTGATGATGCTATATTAAAGCTAGAGAAGCTTGCTCATTGCAAAGTCTATTGTTTGTTTGCCTCTTCTTTGAATGAAAACTATGTTTTTTATCCTCGATCGTACCCACTTGAGAACATTTCCATAGAAGCAATGCAGGATAAGTTTTCAATTATTTTCTGTGGCTTGGACATTCTGCCTTCTGTCATTGAGATTGTGAGTCGTTGCACTCAAGAGCACCCCCTGACTTCGGTCGCGTTGGTTACTCGCACAGTGAAAGGCGAATTATTCCATGCGCTTTGTGGATGGCCGGTCCTAGCTGCGTGGGACAAGGGACTCCATGTATGGTGGACCAACTCTCAGTCATATGGACGTGCTCGTCACAACGTTAAGGTGTATTTCAAACCTTCGACAAATATTGTGGCATGTCCTATTCGCCCAAAGCATCAACAAAATTTGTTGCTTGCGGGTAGCGTGAACGGGGAAAACGCAAAAATCCTTGTTGACACGGGTGCAACTGTTTCCCTCTTTGACGAAAAGTGGGTCACAGCACGCATGATCCTCGTTGAAGGACCGTCTTGCCCCATTCGCCTTGGTGATGATAGCATCATCCCAAGCAAAGGGCGGACACGGATCAACATGGAGATTGAGGGTTATCGCGAAGAGATATGTGTCAACGGAAGTTGTGTGTTGGTCCCGTCCTCGCTTGGGCGGAGCTGACTTCGTGGTCGGGTGTGAGGGGAGCAGCCGACCTGCAGCAGTGGGCGAGCTGGTGAACGAGGAGGTCGAACTGCACGGGGGCCACTGCACGGGCGCCGACTTCAGGGTGGCGCCGACTTCAGGGAGGTCGACCTGGGAAGTCGACCTGCGGAGGACGTCAACTTGATGACGTCAACTTGGGGGCAGCCGACTTGGGTGGTCGGCTAACAGGACTGCTGGTCGACCTAATGGTTGGTCGACCAGGCTCGCTGGTCGACTTGGTGGCAGGTCGACCAGGAGTGATGTCGACCTGGTGATCGACCTGACCTGGTGGTCGACGAAGGAGGGGCCGACGTCGACCACGACTCAGGACGCCGAGCAGCTGGGCGTCGAGTAGCAGGGCGTCAACTTGGTGACGCCGACTTCGGCTGACAACTGTTTTGGTCGTCTTGGAGATGGTCGACCAGAAGTGCTGGTCGACGTGGAGCTTGTCGACCAGGAGTGACGTCGACCTGGAGCTGGTCGACCAGGGGTGTGGTCCACCTGGTGAGGTCGACTTGGGGTGGTCGTCGACTTGGGAGGTCAACGGACACATACAGGAGCAGCTGGTCGACCTGGTTGCCCGGTCGACCAGGTTACCTGTGTGACGAGGTTCTGCGGAGGAGTGCGACGGTCGCCCAGGCGAAGTTGGCGAGTCCGACCTCGGTGGTGGTATCCCGAGGTCGACGTGGCTGATCAGATGCAGTCGTCAGCGCCAGGTTGACTTGGTGTGTGCGCTGTGCAGGTGACAAGGCTCAGCACGCCAATCATCTGCGAGCACCTGCGAAGCTGTGGTGCGATGCTGTACTGCGGGAGCTACGCTGGCACGCCGTCAACCTGCGACGTTGGCACGCCGTCGACTCTACACTGCTGGAGCACGGTCGACCAAGTCGTGCTGGAACGCGGTCGACCATGCTGCGCTGGCAGTCGACCGACCTGAATGCTAGCTCTGATGTAGTCTTGCCCTGCCAACTTGATTCCACCATTGTTGTCAACTTTCTCTAGTGAAACTCTTGCCAACTTGCCCCGTGAACTAGCAAGCAGTGTGTGCACTAGGAAAACGACTAAGGACCAACGAACGCAGAGATGATACGAGCACCCGTGCCTAGCCTGTAGTCTAGCTCCCGTTGTAGTAGTTATCTCCGCATGGTGCGATGAGCATGGACGGCACACGACTTACATTTCAGTCAGGTCGACGTAGAGGTCACTTACCTAAGTTGTTCGTAGGCCGGCAGCCGTGCAGTCACTATCGTGCGCGTAGGTGACGCCAAGGGAATGGAGACCCTGGAGGCACAGCTGGAGGACGCGAGGACACGCCATGGGGCCCAGGAGTACGGAACGATTCCCTGGGCGGTTGTGGAGGCTGGCATTCGCACCATGTGGGAGACGTTGCACCCTCCTCAACCCGCGTCTCCTCGACCGGTGAACACAGAGGGTGGCGTCGACGTGGGCGTCAACGCCGGTGGTGACCAGGTCGGCAGTAGTGCGGGAGGCACGTCGAGGCAAAGAGGTGTGATACACGCCGATGAAGTCGGCGGCGTTCAGGCGCGAGGGATGCGGTCAACGGCGGCTGCAGGCACCTCGCAGGGCGATGTCGGAGCTCGACGAAGCGGACAGTCGCCGATGTCGGCGACCCACGTGACAGCGAGCGGGATTGCGCCGAGCTACGATTACTTCAAGTTTACGCCGGACAGGATCTCGGTCACCCCCCCGCTGGTCGGTCGACTTGACATCCTCACCTGGAAGGAAGCTATTGAGCCCCAGCTGGAGATGGCCGGGCTGATCGGCTTCGCCCGAGGAACCATGGCGACACCGGACGACCCCGACCTGCGAGCAAAGTTTCGCGCCGTGCAGCTGTTGACCTTCACAGTCATCTCGCGGTGCTGCTCGCCGGGCGTACAGATAGCCTTGAAGTGGTGTCGGGAGCACCTCGACGCCGGCCACCAGGCGTGGCACTTCATTGAGTCGACCTACCAAGTCACCGACGACTTGTTCATCGCCCAGCTGGAGGGACAGCTGACGCACCTGCGTATGGGCGACGAGGAGACGGCGACCGACTACTGCAACCGTGCCCGGCGAATTCTCGCCACCATCAGGATGGCCGGCGCGCAGTACTCGACGGCGTCGTACGTCACCCACGTTATGCAGGGACTCTCGAGCACCTACAACCTCCTGAAACGGTTGTCAATGGCGCCGAGCACGAGGACGACGCTCAACGAGGACAACTTGACCTCGTACATCCTGCAGGACGAGGCAATGCAGGAGGCAGAGCGGTCCCAGGAGCTCATGGCGCAGGCAAACTTTGTCGCCCCGGCGAAGCAAGGGGGTCGACCGGGGCAGCGCTGACAGTCTGGCGGCGGTGGTAGCAGTGGCTGGAAGCCGGCCAAGGAGGTCGACAAGAAGAAGTCGACCAAGGACAGCGGTCGAGGAGGAGGAGGTTGACGTTGGGAATGCTGGCTGTGCGGCGACCCCGACCACCTCTCCTTCGAGTGCACCGACCGCAGTGACTCCGACGACTCCGACGCCAAGGGAGGCCGCGGGAGGTCTGACAGTCGTCGTCCTCGTCGAGGAGGAAACAAGCCGCGCAAGGAGAAGCAGTCGACGACGTCGACCTCGGCGAAGGACGCCGACTCCTCTGCTGGCGGCAAGGGTCGGGACGACAAGACGGCGTCGTGCTCGCTGGTCGGCGTCGTGGAGCCGACCGTCTCGCTGGCGCCGGAGGCCGGAGAGGACTTCCACGCGGTGGCAGCAGTAGGTGCCATGCCCTCTTGCATGGCTGGTGCGGTGGACGACGTGCTGTTTGTTAGGTGCACGTCAACGAGCTAGTCTCCAAGAAGTAGTGCCGTGTGGGCAGGGACCCAAGCTTGAACGCGGCAGGGGAGTGTCAACGGAAGTTGTGTGTTGGCCCCTTCCTCGCTTGGGCGGAGCCGACTTCGTGGTCGGGTGTGAGGGGAGCAGCCGACCTGCAGTAGTGGGCGAGCTGGTTGACGAGGAGGTCGACCTGCACGGGGGCCACTGCACGGGCGCCGACTTCAGGGTGGCGCCGACTTCAGGGAGGTCGACCTGGGAAGTCGACCTGCGGAGGACGTCAACTTGGGGGCAGCCGACTTGGGTGGTCGGCTAACAGGACTGCTGGTCGACCTGGTGGTTGGTCGACCAGGCTCGCTGGTCGAGTTGGTGGTAGGTCGACCAGGAGTGATGTCGACCTGGTGATCGACCTGACCCGGTGGTCGACGAAGGAGGGGCCGACGTCCACCACGACTCAGGATGCCGAGCAGCTGGGCGTCGAGTAGCAGGGCGTCAACTTGGTGACGCGGACTTCGGGTAGCCGACTTCGGTTGACAACTGTTCTGGTTGTCTTGGAGATTGTCGACCAGAAGTGCTGGTCGACGTGGAGCTTGTCGACCAGGAGTGACGTCGACCTGGAGCTGGTCGACCAGGGGTGTGGTCGACCTGGTGAGGTCGACTTGGGGTGGTCGTCGACTTGGTAGGTCAACGGACACATACAGGAGCAGCTGGTCGACCTGGTTGCCCGGTCGACCAGGTTACCTGGGTGACGAGGTTCTGCGGAGGAGTGCGACGGTCGCCCAGGCGAAGTTGGTGAGTCCGACCTCGGTGGTGGTGTCCCGAGGTCGACGTGGCTGATCAGATGCAGTTGTTAGCGCCAGGTTGACTTGGTGTGTGCGCTGTGCAGGTGACGATGCTCAGCACGCCAATCATCTGCGAGCACCTGCGAAGCTGGTGCGATGCTGTTCTGCGGGAGCAACGCTGGCACGCCGTCAACCTGCGACGTTGGCACGCCGTCGACTCTGCACTGCTGGAGCGCGGTCGACCATGCTGCGCTGGCAGTCGACCGACCTGAATGCTAGCTCTGATGTGGTCTTGCCCTGCCAACTTGATTCCACCATTGTTGTCAACTTTCTCTAGTGAAACTCTTGCCAACTTGCCCCGTGAACTAGCAAGCAGTGTGTGCACTAGGACCAACGAACGCAGAGCTCACACGAGCACCCGTGCCTAGCCCGTAGTCTAGCTCCTGTTGTAGTAGTTATCTCCGCAATATGCGCATATGTTTTACCTTCTCGCAGGCGTCGATCTTGTCCTTGGATGGATTGGTTACGAGCGAATGAAGTCAGGCTCGACTTCCAGGACAATACGGTCTGATTCTCAAAGAAAGGTGACACTGTTCGATGGCAAGTGCCTAAGGACTTGATCACGAACGAGCAACACATG